TCATTGGAACAGTAAAAATACCTCTTATTCAGCATCTGTGATGGAAACACTTTTATTCCTCTCTGGTGGGCCGCTACAATACTTTAACAGCCTGTTTGGCTGCCATTAAATCGTCCAGATTTACCTGCTGTTTTCTCTGCTCTAAAACAGTCCTTATTTACCCCTGCCACCCCCCCCCTCCCAACCCCCCTTTTTTTGTCATGTTTGGTTAGTTTAGGTTTAGCATCAAGACAGTGGGGGAGGGGGTCACTGTGGGATCACAGCCTCCGATATGTCAAAAGTAATTAGGCTGATCGCAGAGTATAGCCAATTATGCACAGAGGTGTGTGTGCCGTTAATTAGAATGATAATAAGCCCAGTGACGACCCTCAGATGTGACAGAAATTCTTTCAAACAGACGTCTCGCCTTTTCTCTTGAGAAGTAGTTCGGCAGATTTGAGGTCATGTCGTCGTTTTAAAAACGACAAATTAAAAAAAAATGCATTTGTTAGACACATCCGGAATCACGTTACGATGTTTGACTGGTAAAACGCTCACTTTTCTCAAAATTATTCCGCACCCTGTACCTCCACCACTGTATTTCGCACAGCTCCACGACACTCGATCACAGTGTTTCACCTGCGCTTGTAATTTAATGACTTCATATGACGAATCGCCGAGGGTTTTCCAAAAGGTCCTGGCTGTGATGGTGCAATCTATTTTCCACTAAACAAAAATTAAGAACCAGGTTTGCTCTGTGTGTGTGTAATAAAACGGCCTGAGTCTGATTTCACCTGCGTGTTTTCACGCAGAGCGTTGACACTGCACAGCCGGTAGTCTTTTATTCCAAGCAGAGACCTAAATGAACTCCTTCCTTGCTGAGAGCCATTACATGTGAGTTCACAGGAGCTTCCCCAACATTTTTTTTTCTCCTCACTTCAACAAACCTGGTCTGATTTCTGCTGTGCTTCAGTGTTCGTAAGTCTCTTCTGACGACAGCCACAGACGAGCAAGTGACAGTTGCCACAGTTTGAATAAACCTTGGTCTGAGATTTTTGATCGTCGTGTACATTTTTGCATGACAAGATTTTCACCCCCCCCCCTTGACAAATGACCTTCATTCCCAGAGGGAGGGCTAAAAAAGTGTCTTCTGCTGTAATTGGGCTCGTGTTTTAGGTGTGTGTGGGTGTGTGTGGAGAGTAGGTAGACTGAAGGATGGAGGTGGGGGAGAGTGTGAGGCACAGAGCAGATAATGAGAGGCAGGGTGACAGAATGAAAGAGTACGGCAGCAGAGCATGTTGAGAATCAGAAGAAGGGTCTTTGTTCCCCACAGCTGCCTCACAGTGTGATGTCGTCAAAACTTCTCACCGCGCTGCACTGTGTGTGTGTGAAGGGGTTTATATTTAAGTGTGTCACTGTGGCATGTTTTCCAGGCTACACGTGTTGTATAATAAGGTGACGTTTCCATACAGTCTTACTTCAACAGAACACACAAATAGGTTACACTAGTTAAATAAATAAATATCACTCCCAAAGTGTGTAACGTCACAGTTGGAGTCTATGCAACAGACACAAGCTGCCACAGGGGGCGCCGTTACAGTACAGGCCCCGAACCCAGGACCTTCCGCGAGCAAGGCAGGCATGATAACTGCTACACAGTGGAACCACAAACCAACCGGAATTTAGTCACCAAATATTTTAGGCACGGTAAATGTAATATTTAAAGGGCCTTAAATAAATTAACTGTTTTTTTATCTTAAATGTAGTGTAAGTGTGAAAATGGGCTAATCACCAAATTTTTCCCACCATCCCTGTAGTACCTCTCTGGGCCCTCTAGGGGTCTTGAAGTCTGTGGAGAAGACCTCTGGGATATGTGAAAATGAAATTTGAATTTAAAGCAGAAAATCAATAAATTTCATGTTTGTTACCTGTTAAGAAATATTATTTACAAAAACATCATAGGCTAATTAACATTATTATTTTGAGGGTATGAAAATGTGAATTTTTTTTCTTCCTTCAGCTCATTGCAGTTACATCCCTGACCAGTCATTAACGTGGTCTCATTTTCGATTCCCTTCCCTTCATGTCAGGTAGAGAACCAGGGATCAAGGTTCTGAAAATAGTTCTATGAATGGCCGACGTATAAACACTTCACCGTGAACACGGTGGGATCTGTAATATGAAGTGACGTGTTCTACCATGAGTGCCACCATCTGGGAGTTTGCTGTCACATTGTTTTGTTGCTGACTTGTCAAATTGGCGCCAACGTCTCAGCTTTCACGTATCGTTGCCGTCTGAGAGGATATAATTAGCTCTGTGATGTACGGAGGTGTGTCAGTGTGTCAGCCAGATGTGATTTAATCAGTGTGTCAGGTCAGTGGATTTGGTGAAATGTTCTGTCACAGACAGGCTTTTGTTTTGGTTCAGGTGGAGAGCGGTGGAACTCTGATCAGCTGAGAGTTTTACTCACAGCACATGTTGACGTTACAGGATCTCATTAACGCCATTGTTGCTGGTTGATTTCGTGTGTGTGTGTGTGTGTGTGTGTAAGACCTCATTTAAGAGAGCAGATGTGTCTTACAGATACAGAACGTGTTTGTCTGCTGGTGGATACATATAAGGTCTAATACTTCACAGTGTTCACAGACTTCTCTTCGTTTGTTTTGGCGATTACACTTTCAGAACTAAGAGTAAAACAAAATTTGAATTGCTGGATATTTTGTCTTTATCTTCCATGGTCATATCATTTTAAATATTAAAAATGGTAAAGCTTTTCTATTAACCAAAAACCATCATCTTGTTGCTGTACGCATACCCCAGTTTGAGAACCACTGCAGTAAAGGATGAATGAGCCATGAGTAGTGTGTACTTTGTTGTACTTTGTAGTACTACAATTTGTTTTGTGAACGTAAAAAACGCTCCTCAGCACCAGACTTGATGACTTTTGCTTCATGTTAAAAGTCGGCCCGTAAAGTTATTGCCGGCTAACTTGTACGTACTCCCTTGTTCAACTATTTAAAAAAAAATCTTTTGTAACTGCCTCTCTGTTTCTAAGTGTTACTGCTGCCTTTAATGCTGCCTCCAGGCACATCATTGAGACCCTCATTACCATCATCCAAGTATGGGCAAGAAAATCCATTTGGCTAATGGCTAATTCCAAAGCTAAGATATCAGGGGGGTTTTCCTAGGCCGGCGATATCTCCTACTTTGAAGATGTTAAATTGTCGGCAGTAGGGCTGTTATGTCACGCTTTAATCATTGATGAGGTATTATAAAGGTGAATACAAGTAATGAATACGCCTGTCCTTCAAACTGCACATCATGCAGTTAGCCTGCCTTGGTGTTTCCTTGAAGGAGCGCTACTAGAGTTGAGTTCAAATTAACTTCTTCATCAAACTAATTATTCATGTGTTTTCTAATCAAAACCACTTCCATCAATCTCACTTTGAAAAGTTTGACATCTTCAAATATGATCTGTCCAGGCAAATCTGCCTCCTAGATCTTGAAGGTGTAGATTTTTGGAACCTGGAATGTTCTTAACATTCACCAACATGGTGCACACTTATGTACAGACTCCCTGATGTTAATATGTCAATCTCAAACTTTTAAAAATGTAGAATCCAATGATGGATCCACAGCGTACAGAGTTAAACTCAAAATGAATACTTTATATGTCAGATTTTTTTTCGTACAGCGCTATGTTGAGCAATTACTCCGTTTGTTTACACTGAGTGACAGGACGGCTGTATCTTTAATCTAGCCAGGCAGCGTCTCACTCGAAATCTGCAGCTCAGCGTGAAAAACAAATTTGAATCTCCACGGTGTTAGACAGAAAACATGGAAATATAAAAAGAAGACAAACAAAACAAAACAAAAACTCAGACAAATAAACTTTTTTTCCCA